TTTGTGCCTGGCCCCCCGCCCCCCCCCCCCCCCCACGAGATGCCGCCTGAGGCAAAAGCATAGGGCTGCCTCATTACAGGAATGGCCGTGTTTGCCTTCATACTTTGCACTGAATGGTGTCCCTCATTCTCATCCAGGAAAGTTTTGAGGCATGGAACAGGTTCAGATACAAACTAAGTGCCATACTAGAGTTATTCTTACAGAAAAGAGAAAGCACTTTAGTAGCAGAGCACTTTGAACTGTAATGTATCATAAAGCTTCCACATGAAGTTTGACAATAGTAGATATCTACCATCTAGATATGATTCGTTGCAGAGGCAAACTAGATTGGAGGATTCATGGTTTAATGTGCTTCTCCATCATGGTCTCAAAGAAGAAACCTTTGTTTTCTAGTTCATTATGTCCAGCATTACCCAAATGCACCCCATACCTCTTTCCTCCTCCTTAGATCATGTCCCCATGTTACTTTTTTGTTTTGCGTTGTTTCTGTATTGAGAAACAGCTTTTATTGCTCTCTGTGGTATCAGTACATGGTTCGTAAAATTCTTGCAAGGGCAGATACTGGAAGCACAGATCCTATGGAACTAGGCATATGTATTGGGGTAACTGGCCACAGAGCACATTTCTGGCAACTGATAACAAGTGCTCCATTGGCCATTGGTGAAGAAAGGGAAAGTGTTGCCCATAGCACTAAATCTAGTTTCAACCATTACCTTGTTCTAACTAAAATGTATAGATCGACCACAGAAATGTTATCCCTACTAATTTATGCCATTTCTTCTTCCAGTTCATCAAATACAAAAGCAACAAAGCACTGCTCCGGGAACGAGTATATGGAATTGTTAATTTTGTCAACTTGGTGAGTAGCTGAGATGTAGTTTCTTTAATCTTATAATAGTTGGGATGGGTTGAGATGTAAGCTCCCCCGGCAGTGGTCTTCCTAGAATGTACATTGACAGAAACTGCAATATAAACTATACAATGAAATTTGTCTACTTTTCATTTCAACATCTTTATTTTGAGTAAAGATGGGTAAGTCATAATAAATGATTTCTACAAGTTATAATGATATGATACATTTGTCAAAGAGACAGAAAGATACCTCATTCTATTAAAACATTATCAGAGAGTTTAGCCCTTCCTCACTTTACTAAAATTATAATTTTGTTTTTATTGGTGTTCTCTTTGGAGCAATTTCCCTTTACTTCTTGTTCTTACAGAATGGGAGGGACAAACACTTCCCTGCTCTATCCAGGCCATCTTGAACGTGGGCCAAAAGGGGCAGCTGCCCTGGGCCAAGTCATTGTTGTGGGGCCTAAACAGCTGCCCCTTGAGCCTGCAGAAGAAACACATGTGACACTGTTCTATTTACTATGTGATCGGCATTGCATAATGTTGCCCCGCCCCTACTGTACACCGCCTAGAGTGACCACGTGACATCTCACGAGGGATCACGTCTCACATGAGGTCACATCTCACTCTAGTGTCTTGTGTTTGTTTTTTGTGAGGTTTTTTGGGGATGTTAGGGAGGAGAGTGAAATTGCATGGCAGGGGCGGGGTGGGTAGGGGGGGGGGGAAATGTTTGCCCAGGATGCAATCAATATTAAAGACATCCCTGGCTCTATCCATAACACTGTAAAAGATTTTGGGTGGACATGGTATTTTAAATTAATATTTCACCCTAAAGGTTCCCAAGCCCTAGAAGGGCTTCTAAACAGTTAATTATGAAAAGCATAGAGAGGGCAATATACATTATTCAACCAATATGGCCAACATTTGTGGACAGATGACCAACACATATCCCATTTTAAGATCATGGACATTCATAAGGAGTTGACCCCCCTTGCAGCTATAACAGTATCCCCTCTTGTTGGTGTTGGTTATGTGTTTAGATGAAGCACTGAGATCTTGAGGAATGCTGAATTAAGTTGTACTTGTTTATAAGAGCATTACATCAGAATACAGCATTATGCAGGAAACATATATATAGGAAAACTTCCTGCTTATCATAGGTAAGCATGCATGTAGAGAGACTAACATTGCACTACAGCGCCATCTACAGCTCAAAAGACATAACAGTATATCAGTACATTAGAATGTCAGTAATACAATCAGTACATATCAGCATATGTTGTTGCATATACAACAGTGGGAAGTATTTCCACAAGATTTTGGCGTGTGGGAATTTGTTACAACAAAGCTGACAACACTTTTGAGGTCAAGTATTGATGTTGGACTAGAAGATCTGACTCCCAAATGGCATTCAAGTTCATCCCAAAGGTGCTCAGTAAGGTTGAGGTCAGTGCTCTATGCAGAACACTCCAGGTCCTCCACACCAAACTCATCAAGCCATTTCTTTATGGAGCTGGCTTTGTGCACAGGGATACAGTGATACTAGAACTTTCCCAAACTGTTGCCACAAGGTTGGAAGTTCACAATTGTCTAAAATGTCTTCGTATGCTGTAGCAGTAAGAGTACCTCCTCACAGGGAACACCTAAACTCAACAACTTAGAGAGGTGTCCACATATGTCTCACTGTTGGTCATACAATGTATTTGATGGTGTATTTCTCATTTTCAGGTATACAAACCCTTAAATATTTTTGTGGCACTGACTGGACTGGAGATCTGGGATACGGGAGACCAATTTCAAGTTGTCACATTGGCTAACACAATTCTAAACGATTTTTCTAAATGGAGGGAAAATGATTTGCTGCCCAGGAAACCCAACGACAATGCCCAGTTCCTGACGTATGTATGCCAGTTGCAGCCTGTTGTCATGAAAATATAACATACAAACACAGATGTTAATCAGGCTAAATGCTATATAACTGTACAACAATGTTCGCTATCGTGAATGATGAGAAAACATGTCCTGTAATAGATGTTCTTATGATCATGATAACATATATTCAAATTGTGCATCAATCTAGGACTGCCGTGTGTGTACTAATGTCCTTACTTAGAATGTGAAATTTGCTCTGTAGAATCAGATCCCCAGCTGTCATGCTAATGCTAAGATCCCTGGCTGCAATACTAATGCTGAGATCCCTGGCTGTCATACTAATGCTAAGATCCCTGGCTGTCATGCTAATGCTGAGATCCCTGGCTGTCATGCTAATGCTAAGTTCCCTGGCTGTCATGCTAATGCTAAGATCCCTGGCTGTCGTACTAATGCTAAGATCCCTGACTGTCGTGCTAATGCTAAGATCCCTGGCTGCCATACTAATGCTAAGATCCCTGGCTGCCATACTAATGCTAAGATCCCTGGCTGCCATACTAATGCTGAGATTCCTGGCTGCCATACTAATGCTAAGATCCCTGGCTGTCATCCTAATGCTAAGATTCTTGGCTGCCATACTAATGCTGAGATCCCTGGCTGTCATTCCAATGCTACAATCCTTGGCTGTCATGCTGATGCTAAGCTCCATGGCTTTCATGCTTATGCTAACCCTTCAGTGCTATCTCAGTCACTGACCTGGAACAAATATATAGATAAGGAATTTCGGACACTGCTTGTCCTTTTAAAAAATGTGTGCCCATATGGCATCCATTGACGTGGCGTGCCTTCTGTGCTGGGTGAGGCATTCCCCAGCCTGCCGAAGCTCCTCCCCATCTCGCCGAAGCCTCGCCCCCTGCTCGGTAACCGAGCTGTGTGGGGAGGAGGAAGGGAGGAGACTCCCTGTCCCTCACATGCTCATCATTGGTGAGGCATCGAGATCGATGGCCTCAATGGTTTGTTTTTTTCTTTGTATTGATTGGACAGCTTGGACCAATGGCGCTTTGTCATTGGTCCAACCCATCCACAGAGCTCACCAATGGCTTGGACCAATGGCGCTTTGTCATTGGTCCAACCCATCCACAGAGCTCACGCCTCTAACACAGAGTAGAGGCTGTGATAGCTCTTGCCTCACCAAGTTAGGTTACACAAGCAGTAGGGAAGCCCACTGGTGTATAACCTAACTACCTATCAAAAGCCGTATGCAGCGCCGCCTGTAATTAACAGGCAGCGCTCCGTCATGACAGGTTACACAGTGGGGAGGATTTCCATGCTGTGTAACCTGTAACAAGCCGATCTGAATGGCGAAAAAGTTGTCAGCTTCAGATTTGAAGCTGACACCTTTTTTTCTTCATAATACTAGGTGAGGCTCTGCCCCACCTGCCTCCCCTGACCGCACGTCCCTGATGGCATCCTATAATAAATCTAAATTATTCAAACATTGTACCAAGTAAGGGTCTTATATGGCCTTATAAAACAATGTAAACATCATCTAGGTATGTGTATTAGTCATGACTGTTACCTGACACATTCTGACGCTGCTACATTTGGTCTGGTTATCTATCTTGGTATCGATGACCTGTAGTCGCATTGATGAGACGTTAGTTATTAGTGAATTCCTCTTTTCATGGAATGTTTAATCACTAATAAAACTTAGAATCGGTAAGGGCTGAGCTTTGATATATGCAGAACCCCAAACTGACATCCAATGAGGTCCACATGGCACCACCCCTAATAATCTTTGTTCCATGCCCCTGACTAGCCAAACAATTCCAAATGCTGATACTGCATAAGAAGGGAGAGAGAAGCCCTGTCCTACCTCAGGAATCTAGAGCTATGAGAGTTTAGAAATAAGGATGACGAGTAGAGACATACTGACCAGAATGATCAAATCAATGTAACAATCTCTAATATGGAGATCCCCGTAGTAGCAATGGTTACATTTATTTGCTAATTCCCCTCAGAGGTCTTTAAAACTATTACATTGTATCTCCTGTTACTAAGATGAATCTCTTCCTATAATCCTCAGCTCTTGTGTCGATCATGTGGTATTTTCCCCATTCACTCCGTTCTGTATGAATGAACCTATTTTTACTTCTGGCCTTCATATTTGATGAACATCCGACCAGAGAAGAAAATATAACCTAAGACCAATCAATTGTGTCCCATTCACAACAGCTGGTTGATTCTTACAGAATGAATGTACATGCAGTTTCGCTGGATGGATAGTTATTAATTTTTTTTAATAAGTAAACCCCAAAGTATTAGAAATTAAGTAACAAAAATGATTCTCTCTGTAACAGTATCATGTCCCTGGAGACATCTGTGGCTCTGTAATGAGGCTTTTCTGATACGGGACTTCGGTGAAACTTTGGGATGTGACCCCGGTGTGCTGGCTTCTGCTATTTGATACAGTGATACAAGTCATGTTTAGACATATCAGTCTATTGATAAGATTCTGGTAAATGATGTTTCTCTTTCAGGCACACTGACTTTGATGGTGCTACAGTGGGACTAGCCTGGGTCAGCACTATGTGCCAAGACTTTCACTCCACAGGAGTCATCCAGGTGAGACATGAGACAACCTCTAAGGACCAGATAGCAGTTCAAGTATTGATCACATACAGACAACTAGTTGAACTAAATCATTTTGTTCACTTATTTAATGAGAAAAGCTGCCCATATACCTTGCGATCATCGGATGACACTTTCGTCCGATGATCGAACCGTCGTACGGTTTTCATATGGCGTCCCCATCCTGCCCCGATTATCGCAAGGTTAGATCAGCGGTAATTAAAAGAAAGCACCTAAACGAATTGCGGTAACCGACCGCACAAATTTTCATCTGCGCATGTGCAATGTAAATCATACGAATTTCGACGTACGGAAACACCACCAACCTTGCAAAAATGGTACGATCGACCGAAGTTTTCTAACCTGCTGGTTAGTCAAAAGTCGATCGATTGTACAGTATTTGCGGTTGTACGCTGCCCATCAACCTTGCGAATATCGGACGGAAATGCGATCGCATACGAAAATCGGTTGCAACATAATGGTTGCAATGGTGAGCGGTTATTTGTCAGCTTGGCCACGTGACCATGTTGACCGAGAAAAATCTTTTTGTCCAACGTCCCAGAAGAAAGAATGTTAAGAAAAGATATACATTGGTCACATGGCAGCGCTGACCGGTCACCATTGCTAACCGAATGTTGCTACTTAGCCTATGGGAGTATTGCAGTTTTCAAGTCTCAGGACTGTTATACCAGCTGGCGTGGGTTGCACCGCTTATCATTCTTGCAGTGGATATTGGGGGAAGGATGGGGGGGGAGGTGAGGAGGGTGTTGTCAATTTAGTCCACCTTTTCATTTTTATGAGAAGGTAAACTCACACTTTTAAGATTAAATTAATTTTTAACAATTAGGATACAGTATAGAGAGGGCTGACTACGCTGGATTTTGATTGCCGTGGGACAGGAAGTGGGTCTGTGAAGGTTCTCATTCATCCAGGTCATGGTATATCTGTAAAAAATAAGTCAAGGCAACTGGATTTGCTGTATTTGGATGACCAGTGAAACGTCTTCAAGAAAAATACAGCAAGTCCAGTTGCCTTGACTTATTTTTTACAGATATACAGGAAGTGAGGGAAGTCTTTATAATGGGGAAACTTGTTACATTAAATGTACAATATACAGTATATTGATGTCTTACACCTCATAAGGGTATTTCCCAACACTTTAACAAAAACATATCCTTAGCTTATTTGCCCAGTGAAACTGCAGTTAACCAGCTGTTGTGAGCATGGCCGGATTAAGAGCATCATGGGTCTGGTGCTGTAGGTCGGAGGGGAAACAGCAGAGGCGGTTCTCTAATTAGAGAGCGCAAATCCTGAGAGTATAAAAGGTGTAGGCACAACCAGTGTCTGTGTATTGTGGGTAAAACGGACAAAAAATGATCAACAAAAGGAAATATTAAAAGAAAAGGAATTGGAAACTTACTTGAGGACCCAAAAGTCCTGGTGAGGGGAGCGCAGAAGGGGTTATGGCAATGCAAGTCGTGTGTCCCAGGGGTGAAAGGATGAATGAAAGAAAAAGCAATTTAACCTAAGTGCTGTGTATGCCGAAGGACTAGTGGAGAATACCTCTAGTCTTGATCGCGGTGTTTTTTATGGGACGTGATGCAATAAAGTAACAGAAGGCTGGGGAAAAACGTGCACGGAGCGGTGGTGGAGGAGCGACGCATTTCGAGGTAATCCTCTTTATCAAGCTCTGTGGGAAAAGGTAAGTAAGGTTACTCACCAGGACTTTTGGGTCCTCAAGTAAGTTTCCAATTCCTTTTCTTTTAATATTTCCTTTTGTTGATCATTTTTTGTCCGTTTTACCCACAATACACAGACACTGGTTGTGCCTACACCTTTTATACTCTCAGGATTTCCGCTCTCATTTGCCTCATGTCCATGTTCACAGGTTTCTCCCCCTGTTTTTAGAGCAGCAATCCCCATTGGCCATATTCACACATATCCTACACTTCCAAGAGAGCGCTGTGTCTTTTTTCCGTTTGTGGTTCTCTAATTAGGTAGCTGCTTGCTCCTCATGAGCAGAGATTAGAGAGTCTGATTAGAGAGCCACCGGTGCCTCTGCATATAAAGGAGAGAATAAGGAGAGAAAAAGGAGAGAATAAGGAGAGAATGAGCATATAAATATAACAATTGATACTACAACTATAGCAATGGTTACATTTATATGCCTATTCTCTCCAACGTTTTCTTAAATTGTATCTCATTACTAACATGTATTTCATTCCAATGATCCTCAGCTCTATCTGATGGCTAAAATGCAATATTTCCCCCTATTCGCTTTGTTCTGTATAAATGAACCTAATGAAGAGCATTCAACTAGAATAGAATATACACTAAGAACATTCGTCTTTGCCCCATTTTCACAACAGCAGCTTAACTTGTACAGTGCCTGCAGTTCCTCTGGATGAATAAGCTATGTGAATGTTTTTTTAAATAGATAGCCCCCTTAGTGTCAAGTCTGTAGGTAGTTATAGTCAATGTGTCACTTTTCGTGAGGAATGAAATAAAAGGCGCTGCTTCCATATGTACATTGAAATGTTGCCTTTGGTTGTGTGTTGACACCTTTCTATGTTATGTTCTCAGGATCACTCTATAGAATATGTTCCTGTGGGAGCGACTATTGCTCATGAGATGGGACACAATCTGGGAATGGATCACGATGGCATTTCGTGCCTCTGCAGTTCTAAGTCTTGTATCATGGCGCCTACTTTGAGGTGCGTCCATTCAAATAAAAATACAAAATCCTATAGAACATTTGTGACAAAGTGCAGAGTTTTCTATTTTGGATTGGGGCAAGATTTGTATTTATGTTGTTAGGGTGACTTCCTCTAATGTTTGGCCAGATGTAAGCGTTTCTTGGCTATGGGGAACTATGCCTGGCTACACAATCCAACACTAGAGAAGGGGGCCCCAGTCTCCTTTGCCATTCCTTTGGCAAGAACGTAGTGGTCTTACATGCTTGGAGAGATTGTGCCCCGAAATATTTCTTGTAACATCTATAATTCCCACTTGTTACTTTGTTCTTCCTACAGCTTTGCAGCTTGATTGCCTACAGAGCCATGCCCTATTCACTGTGAAATTCCCCACTGTCTACTGCTGGGTGCCACCATCTTGAATCTGACCATAGGAAAATGTTACATTGTATCTCTTTACTAACATGGTTTATTTCCTATGATCCTTTGCGCCATCTAGTGGCCATAATGTGGTATTTTCCTCATTCATTCTGTTCTGTATAAATTAGGGATGCACCGATACCGGATTTTCAGTATCAAATACAAGTACAGATATTTTCTTTGGGGTACTTGCCAGTACCGAGTATCGGTGCCTTGTGCCCCGATTATCAAGAAATTGAGGCGGCGGATCATGACCCGTCACCCGGCTTCCTGATTGCCTGTGAAGCCGGTGTTCTGGTGAAAGAACACTGACTTCAGAGGCTGCCTGGCTTCCTGGGCAGCCTTTGGGAAGCCGGGCAGCGAGTCATGAGGTGCCATCAGGGCTTCCTGATTGGTTAGGAAGCCAGGCTGCTTAGCAACACGTGAAGCCGGCTTCCTCAGGAAACTGAGGAGGTGGGTCATAATCCGCCACCCGGCTTTCTGATTGGAAAGGAAGTCGCCTCCTATCTAGACATGTGCGCTTCATTTCTGAAAAATTCGTTTTTGGGACGAATTTTCGTTATCCAAATTTCCGATAGCAGAAATGACAAATGAAAACGAATCAGAATTTCCGAAAATGAAATTTCGGACGAAATGCGTTAGCGGTAGTCTGTACAAATGTTTTTTTTTAAATGTCACTTTGCTGCAAGGAAAATTCATTCACAAACGCAAATTCGTACAGACTAACGCTAACGAATTTCGTCCGATTCCCGAATTGACTTTCGGACCCTAATCCCGAAAAACGAAATAACGCAAAATTTGAATCAAAACGAAACAAAACGAAACAAATTTTTGCTGGTGCACATGTCTACTCCATGCTCCCTTGGCACTGCCGGTCAGAGGGAGATCTTCCTCTGACCGGAAGTTCCGGCATTGGAAGTAAGTATCGGTGCATTTGGGTGAGTACTCGATCAAATACTCGGTATCGGCACCGATACCAATACTAGTGTTGGTTTCACTACAATAGGCTAGGCAATGTTTTTATAAATGGGCCGCACTCTATGCTTTACTAATGTCCCTTTTTATTAACTTTGTAACTGTTTTTGTCATATTATGAACCTCTGTTTCTCTTCATCCTACAGTTATAACACTCCACGAGAGTTCAGCTCCTGCAGTCACCAGAACTATCAGGACTTTCTCCTGAAAAATATGCCGCTCTGTATGAGGGACATGCCAGACAAAAAAGACATTGTGAGCGCTGCGTTTTGTGGAAATAAATTCACAGAAGTGGGGGAGGAATGTGACTGCGGTACAGTGGAGGTAATCACATCTTTTATACATACCCTTTGTAGTTTCTATATGTTACAGGCTGAGCCGCCCATGTCTGAGCTGAGCTGGTTGACACAACACAAAGCTCGCCAAGATTCAATGAAGAAGACACATGACTAGTGGCGTCACTAGGGGGGTGCGGCCCGCACCCGGGTGACACCATTGGAGGGGTCATCTCTGAGCCTGATGAAGGAGACCCTGTGTGGCCCCGAAAGCGATTGCTAATGAGAGACAGCGATTGCCAATAAATGAACACTTGCTGATTAACATTGTGTGGTGTGCTGGTGACATCCTCTAAACCATTGGAGGGGCCCGACTTTTCACACCCTCTGAAAAGTCGGGCACTCGGTCATGAAAGGAGAGCCCAACAGTTGCAGGAGAGAGGAGGGGACCCAGCGGCATACCTTATCCCACCGGGTGAACGTCCCCTCCTCTCTCTGCCAGCGCCCATCACCAAGATGGCCTCCGGCACGGATCACCAAGATGGGCGCGCATGGTGACGCCATGTGCATGAGCGATAACGTCACGTCGGTATGTCACCCGGTACCCGCTCTGGGTGACACCCGCCTTCGGGACGCCTCGCACATGACTCTTGTATTTAGGCAATGTTTGCTTATCCTAGGGTTCAGCTTAATGGGCAATTGACAATGTGACCGTCCTAGCAAGCAAATCCCAAAATATATTGGTATCCGTAACTTGCTTTTCCTGAGATTATTTCAATGAGTGTAATGAGCCATTCTCATCTACTTCTAGGAATGCACCAACAAGTGCTGTGATGCCAAAACCTGCAAAGTCAAAGAAAATGCTCAGTGCGCAGAGGGAGAGTGCTGCTCTGATTGCAAGGTGAGTGTTATAGGTAATGATGAAATGGTTCCTCCTCCCAATACTAACATATCGGTGTATAATAGATGAGAATAGAATAGATTAGAACCATCTAATCCAAGCATAGGAAACCTTGGCACTCCAGCTGTTGTGGAACTACAAGTCCCATGAGGCATTGCAAGACTGACAGCCAACTTCCGGAGGTAAAAGAATGATGGCATTTGTCGTTTTAGCACAGCTGGCGTGTCAAGATTTGCTACCCCTGATCTAACCTCTCAGGTAAGCTATAGGGGAGATTGGTGAGACTGGTGAGATCTTGGCACTTAAGTTCAGAGGGGTAACTACAGATGTGGGGCCCCATAGCAAAAATGTGATGGGGCCCCCCTGATGACCTCTCTAACAGCTCCAGGATCCCAAAGACTCATCTTGTGCATCTGACGTCAGTTTTCCTACACTGTAGACTTTACAGGGGATTAGGTGTTGTCCTCAACTGCAACCACTCCAACCCTTAATGATACAGTACTGTGTTATCTTTACATGTTCTATGTTTAATTGCCTCAACAACCTATTGGGGCCCCTTCCACCCCCAGTCCCTATAGCAGCTGCCTGGGCTGCTATGGCTACAATTAACGCCACTGCTTAAGTTCCTGTGTGTGCACACTTGCTGTGGCCATCATGGAGGGGTCCAACGCTCCCTGGGGATTTTGTAATTTATTTATTGGAAAGGGAGGAGTAACACGCCAAGGTGGTGAGAACACCCAGAACTTCTACATGGGCAATATCAGAGCTGGGAATGATGGCAGAAGAAGCCCTTTGTAGGAACCACCAGGAGATAAAAGAATCCAGCAGGTGACTTGGTCCACTAGACCTGTAATTGAATATCACTCCAAGTTCTTGTAGCGGTTTGTCCCAGCAGGCAGGGATTTCCTTTACTTCTTCTACGAAGACACGCCAAGAAATGGGGAAAACTCTCATGTTTTATCACTGAAACAGGTGCCCCCCCAACCATAAGGGTTTACATCAATGTGGTGCACACAGTTTAAGGGCTCAATCACACGGGTGTGCACAACCATATGACATGTACGCCTGTGTAGTATGTAAGTGTATCTGTGCATGGACCGGATTTGGTCATTACTATGTAGTATGTAACTGTATCTGTGCATGGAGATGACTGCATTTGGTCATTACTGTGTAGTATGTAACTATATATGTGCATGGAGATGACCACATTTGGTCATTATTTCATAGGCGTGCCCTTCTTCTTCATTAGTAGTGCTGCACAATGGTTACCAAGCCTACCAGTCATCTTTTATTTTGACATTTATTGATCGGGGATTGAAGTGAAACACTAAAAGCCCCTACAGGGGGGTGGGGGGGAATGGACAAATGATTGCATGTCATATAATAATAAGAATATGGTACAGCAAGCATGAAAATGGGGTGATCTTGGCATCAGTATTTTTTTTGCACTTTATCTCTTAGCTGAAGACTGCAGGATCCGTGTGCAGGGCTGCTACAGATGACTGCGACTTGTCGGACATGTGTGACGGGACGTCTGCCACGTGTCCCTCGGACCGCTTCCGGATCAATGGATTTCCATGCAGAAATGGGGAGGGGCACTGCTACAACGGCAAATGTCCCACTCACCAAAGTCAATGTCTGATGCACTGGGGGCAAGGTAAGCAGGAAGCAACCAACCGAACAACATATACTTGTACACACAGACAGGAGGCGAGAGCAGAGTGAGCAGTGTTGATGACCTATCAGTGTGTTGCTGCTTCTTTACTGTCCAATTAGCAGGCTGCAGGCGGGTTGATGACGCCACTGAATTCCTTAACCCTTTCACTGCCAGGGCCGTTCATGCCTTTTTTTCACCCACATGTACATGTACATTTTACATTTTAGGCATGAATACTACCTAACCCCCCCAACTATATATTGGACATGTTCTTGTTCATATGTGCATGCACACGGAGGGAGGCTTTTAAAATCTTCTTTAATTTACTTTCCTCAATTAAATTTTTTTAAATGTTTATTGTTATTTAACATTATTACTATTGCATGGGGGGCTGGCAAACTCATTGGAAGTGTAATGTTCTCTTTAAGGAGACATTAGTGGTCTATTAGACTCTTAATGTTACCTCTGCACTCCAAGGCAGCATTTCTCAACCTTTTTTCAGTCATGAAAAAAAATCTCGAGGAACCTAGTAAAAGTAACACGTGATGTGTTGTCCCTCCAAAATCTATACCGGACCCTTATCTGAGTTAGTGGATCTGGTATGGATTTTAAGAGGGGACCCCACGCATAAACAACAAAATGGGCGGTCCCCAATCACATCGATTTTCTCTTCATATTAGAAGCTCCCTTCACATCAGAGCGCTCTTTTATATCAGGAGTCCCCCTCTCTCACTAGGAGCCCCTCTTCACAACAGAAGCCCCTTCTTGAACATCAGTGTCCTCACAGCAGGAAATTTTAAGGCACCGCTGAGGTGGCCGAAATGTGGCCCAGGGTGCCATGGCTTCCTGGTTGGGAAAGGATGCTCGAATGAAGCTGATAAAGTACAGATGAAGCTTGATTAGCTTCATCAGCAGCGGTCAGGGAATGACAGCCCTGAAACTGGAAGTGACTACTAGCTCGTCACATCCAGGTTCATTCACTGCAGGAACAATCGAAGAACAGATGTTGGCCGATCGTCCTCTTAAGAAAGGATATGGTAAAGTGATGTTGTAACAGTTCAATCTAGATGATGGGGGTGCCCAGGGTCTTTTAGGATTACCCTGCAAGTTGGCATCGAGTGGGCTTTGTAGCTCCCCCTTTATGTCATATCGTTGTACAGCATTTGCTTATTATGAGCGGCCATTACCGGTGTCATATACAGCCCCAGATGGCATTCTGCACAATAACTGATTTGTAATATATTTCTCTGTTACATTAGGGTGGGTTGCCGGGTCTGATACCTGCTTTTCATTAAACACAAGAGGAAGGGAAGGGTTTTGCCGCCACAATGGAGTCAATGTCCGTTGCCCAGTCAAGTGAGTACAGGCCAGAATCAATGATCAGACATGTTATAGATGATCCTCATCAGTAGCTAACTACCACCTCTATGTACATAGGGATGTGAACTGCGGAGTGCTGTTCTGCTCCAGAGCCAGCTCTCGTCCTGTACATACGGACTGTAATACCCGTAACCCTCCGGTGCTGGTGAAGGATGGGACCCGATGTGGAGAGGAAAGTGTGAGTATTCCCAGACATTCGGTTCACTTCTTTAGGTATGGTTTCATACAAATAACTAGAGCCGTAGCTAGCTCCGTTTGAGCCCGAGGCAAGAACAGAAAATTGTGCTCCCCAACAGACCTGTGCGGTATGTGACATCACGCACCCCGCCTCCATGATGTTGGAACGCATGCGCAGAATGCGCTGGTGGCCAAATCCAAAATAGTATAAAAAATTGTTTTTTTGTCGAAACTAATGAAAACATTTTTAGTTTCCGTTCATTTCGTCCTTAACAAATTTTTTGTGTTTGCACAGTAATGTGTGTGTGGCTTCGGGGAAATATCAGGGGTCTACACAGACCCCTGACATTTCCCTTTTGAAATAGAAAAAGAGATTGAGGACACAGAGTCCTCTGCCCATACAGGTGGGGGAGAGCAGCGGGGATCAGAGGAGAAGCTGGAGCCTGTGCCGCTCCTCTTCTCCCTGCCGAGCCACGGCTGTGTTGGCCGCCTAGTGCCCTTGTTGCCAATGGCTCCTTGTGCTCGCCATGGCAATAGGGATGAGGGGGCGCAGCCAGGCCGGCCCTGGCTGCGCCCCCTCTCAGCTATGCCTGAGGCGAGTGCCTCACTCACCCCATGGTAGCTACAGCGCTGAAAATAACTAGGAATGCAAGTTTTTGCTTTGCTGTAATTTCCAAAAAGTTGCATGACGAGTGGGTCAAGCAAAAACACACTGAAAAAATACAAACCACAAAAAAAAAGTATTTTTAAAAAGTAATTCTGTTGCAAATTGGCAATTTTGCCAAAATTCACCAATCAGGCGTGTAAATAACTGAAAAGTCGTATACACAAGTCCAAAGGACATCAAAGAACACAAGTGAACCATAAAGGAGATCTTGATGAGGAGACAGTATACGTATCAATGGGGCAAGGAAAATTATTTAGAAATGAGGTCAAGAAATAAAGTAAAGATGTCAAATAAGAACATTTGGTCATGGGATTGCATCCTTTTACTTGATATCCATCAAAGAATAGAATGGTGAGCTACACCTGGAGACCAAAGGTTTAACCTTCGAATTGGGAAAGGCTTCTTTACAAAAAGAAATGTGCTCAAGACTTCCACATGAGCTAGTTATAACTAATTGGGTAGGTTAGCTGGGAGGGTAGATTCTTCCAAAAAAAAAGGAATAGAAGAAGGAAAAAAAGAAAACAGATCTGGGAGAGATCCATATCGGTTGCGTTGTGTGATCTCCCTTGGAAGTAGACATGTAAGCTGCAGAAACATTCAGTTTAGTTCAGATATTTTCTTTAGTTTCAGATGAGTTTACGAATGGCATTTAGGATCCGAATTTCCGAATTGCATTTGGAAGCTCCCGAATGCCATTCGGGTCTAGGAGCCTCAGCTTTAGTATTATATGTATATACTGTATATGGCTCCCATGTTGCCGTAACGAAAATTCATATTTAGACCCATTCGGATGCATTAAACCAAAAAACACAAAAGTCTAATTCAGTTTTTGAACGAAATTCGGAAGGGATCCCAAATTCCGAAATGGAAATTCGGATGCATTGGGATTCGGAAATCCGGATGTGTCCGAATTTTGATTCAGAATGAAACGAATCACACATGTCTACTTGGAAGGAGTCTCAGGCAACTGTAGAAGGTGGCTTGTGGGGTTGCACCAGTTTACACAGACTGAAGGCTGCCACTAAACTTAATTATAAGTCATACACCTTCCTGAAGAAGTGGTCATACAGTGCTACAAAACGCGTTGACGGTGTTCTTAATTTCCTCGTTCGACAAAATAAATTGATTCACCATGAAAACATACACTGCTCCTCCTTTGACTTCAGGTGCCTCTGAGGAAATCCCTTTTTTTGGAAAAATCCCATTCAGCAGTTGGGTACATTGTTTAAAAAAAAAAAAAGTCTGGCTGTGTTTCTCAATGCAAAAATTATAACTGGATATTAATAGTTGTAAGAAATAACACTGCAGATTATCAATCCAGGGACTATCCCAATTCCTTAGAGGATCAGGAAGGAGTTTTTTTTTTGCTGCTAGACCAAATTGGACCATGCTTTGTAGAGTTTTCTGCCTTTCTCTAGATCAGGGGTAGACAATTTCAGCACTGCAGCTGTGCTAAAACTGCAAATGCTATCATGCCTCTGGGAGTCATGTTGTGCCTGTCAGAGCCTTGCAATGCATCATGGGACTTGTAGTTTCACAAAAGCTGGAGTGCCGAGATTGTCTACCACAGGCCCAATGGATTATAGTTGTGCTTTGAATAGCGAAGCACTTTCTGTATATCCTGTTACACACACTACGTCTGATTGTATTAAACATGATGGAAAAGTGACTACCAGAGGTGTCTCGAGACTTTTTGCTGGGGGGGGGGTGTGC